ATTTAAACTTCTACTAATAATAAAATTTTAAAAATTCATAAAAAATTAAGTTGTTTTTTCAATTAAAAAAAACTTATTGTCAGGGTGAAAAAAATCCTTCAATGTCAAGCTAATATGATCAAGGCAGCTTTAAAAAACACTTTGAAATTTTTGAAAAGAAAAATTTGGAAACTTTTCATAATTTTTGGAATCTATTTTATCGATTGCAAAAGAGCTTTGTAGCCAGAAATGGTGTCGACTTTTACAAAAATATTAAATACTAGATTAATCTATAAAAATTAAGCATAACACTGACAAATTCAGCTTCGATTCAGCGAAGTTCATAATTTTCTTCGCTTTCCTAACTTGCGTTAAAAATGTTTTCACAAACCCCATTTTCAATTGCCAATATGCATGAGTCGTCTGAGCAATTCTCAAGCGCCATTAATATTTGATCGGCTTTGTGCTTAACCTCACTTATGGAAAAAAATAATAAATTTTTGCACAATTTGTCAACATATTTTCACAACTCATTTGTACTGAGTTCACAAAAAACACAAATTATTATATAAAAGAAGAAAAAATGCGTTTTTAATGCGGCATAAATTATATCACATTGCAGCGTTTTCCAGTGCAATTTGTGCAAATTAAGATAACGGCGCTGAAAAATTCGCAGCAAATAAGCGGCTTTATGTATAAATAATGCAATTAAAACACAATTGAAGCGCTGCCGTAAATAGCTGCTCACATCATAATTAAATAATGGAAATGCGGCACTTCATCGATTACACTTTTTGCGCTAACTGTTGCGTGTATTGTGTATTTGTCGCATTTGATTTAGCACACACACATGCAAACAGTCTTTTTGTAAATGAAGCCTTATTGCATTTGGGAAAAAACGTCAATTGCTTTGCATAAATAATAGTTTAATGGCTAACATGACGGAGACAACTTAAAAGCAAATAAWAATTACAGTTTAAAGCTTTTAATATAAATGCTTTATTGCCAAAGTTATTTATATAAACAAATTACTCCACAGATATGTAGAATTATTTATGCACACAGATATTAAAACTTAACCGAGGTTACACACGGAAAAAGCGATTATTTACATTTGCTTGAAATTACAAATGAAATTTTTAAACAACTTAACAAAGCAATCTAATTAATGAGCGGCAAAAAACGTGGTAATTTATGCATCATTGAAACCATAGCGAGATGGGAGATATTATGTAATATTGCTTTCGACAAATATTGATTTATTTGCGGCTTAGATATCTGTTCTTTCACATGCCTGTGGCACTGCAATGTAAACACAATACTATTTTTAATACTTCTGCAGCAAGTTGCTACAGAGCTTTAGAGTTTTGTTCACCTTACGGTTGCACCTAGTAGCTAAAACTAAGCGAGATAGGTATAGATATATGCGTATATAAATGATCGGGATGACGACAAAAGTTGGAATCCGTGCTGAAAACTTGGCAGCCATACGTGCAGCGGTACCATTAAAACTACATAAAGCTCGATAAAGCAATAACGAAATACGCAGAGACGTTGAATTTATCCTTGATTTGATAAGAGAGGGCTTTATACAAGTCAGTTAAAAATTTTAAAACAGAGTGGGTAAAATCACATTTTAGCTTAGGATTTTCTCGAGCGATTTCTGCCAAATTTGGTACATAATATTTGTGTATGTTTCTTATTTCACTCATTGAAATCGGACTGCAAGCACGCCTACTTCCCATTGACATTGCAGGATGCAAAAGATTTAACCCAAGCAAAACAAATTTTTGTTCATTTCGTCATAGCTACTCTTAGTGGCCTTCGATCTGCTAATCTCCAATCTTATCTCAATATCTCTCTCACTTTGTTTTGCGATATTATGACCCCAGGCCAATATTTTTTAAACAAATTTCTCAAAGMTGGTACTTTTTTAATCTAACAATTTTATTCCTCTGTTCAATTTTTGTCTAATTAGTACAGTTGCTACTATTATGACGACACATCAGAACTTTCATTGAGTCATTCAAAACCAAGTGCTACAAAACATCCATCATTTCTGGCTGTATAATAAAACTATTTAATTATAACTAAAAGAATTTTTGGCTGAAATAGTACTTAATTCAATTACTGCAATTATCTCATAAAAKATATTCAAAGCGCACATGAAACACATTTAAATATTAGACACACACAGACACCTAAATAAATGTATATTTGTTTGCCATCATATACAAATAGTTAGGTTTTTCACAAGCATTTTAGATTTGAACCAAGCCCACCTTTGGATAGCGTTTGAAGCTGATTTGTCCTTTATAACCACAAGTTGATTCAAAGAGCCGTCATTCAAGCGCTCAGTCACTCATGCATTCATTACAACACGAAAGCTGCCGACACATCACGACAAATTCAACAAGCAAATGCCTAAAACAAATCAGATAAAAAGCCATGAGAAAAACGAAAATAGTAAAGGAAGGGGTGAAACACAAAAACACAGATGATTTCGTGTGGTGTTGAAGGCTTTGGCGTAGCACAACCACAGCGTGTCTGACATATGTATATGCCCACTCCAACACAGGTGCACGACGCGTTTGAGCGTCTGCTTTTAATGTGAATAAATCCGCATCGCTGTCGACACGGTTTGCCGTAGCAAAACAAATGCGGTTAGTTGACAGCATTATTGTGAATGCGAATGCGAAAGCGAACACGAATTGGCGGAACGAAGGTCATTGTGTCGGTGCGCAGTAAAAATACGACAATAACATACACAGTGACTGCCGTTGCACAAGGGGAGTAGACCGARTTGTAGTGAATGACTCGTAATTTAATGTTACGTATACGCCATGTAGCACCCSAAGCCTACAAACCGCTAAGCAAACAGGTGGGGTGTGATGGGCACATGATTGCACTTCTGTTGTCACGTTTTTGTTGTTGTTATACCTTATTGTTGTTACTATTGGTGTTTCTGTTGTTGTTATTATTGTTGTAGTGTTAGTGCTAGTGCTGCTTATTGAGGTGCGAGTGCTCTCTTGCTCGCCTTTGTTTTGTCGCGACACGAGCGCGTGTTGTAGAGCAATTCCGTTGGATTAAACGCTGTTTACAAATGCTATTAATTTAGTATTACGCCGCTGAAAGCGACAACAGCAAGCGGCAGTAAACAACAACCAAAGTAAATAGAGAACAATGCGTCGGGTGGTGGTGGCATAGCAGCCAGATATGGTGTTATCACCAGCAACGTGACATTACTGGTGTCAGAACATTAGCAGCAGCGGCAGCTATAGCGTCAGCACTAAACTAGTCTCTTTCGGCTGAAAATGCGACAACACAATCACAGCTAATACAAATCTGCCGGCGTTGTTGTTGTTGTGTGGTGTTAAAGCATTTCGAGCAGCAAACAGTACAGGAAGCAGACGTGTTGTAGGTAGTTAGTCGCACAGCAGCTTGTTATTAGAACATCACACCAGTTCGTTGCAGTGTCGTGCTGGCTCAATCATTCATCCATTCATTCATTAGCACCAAATGCCAGCTGCAAGCCGGCTGTTTGACTTAGCAGGCATATGTCATCATTAGGGCGCGTTTATGTGTATGGATGGGTGTAGGTGTTTCCTGTACAGGATGCTGTGTGGTTTATTGAGATATTTTGCACTGTGCAGCGTGTTGCATAAACAACCAATCATGGCGGCATCAACAAGCTACTAACTAYGCAAACAGTTGCCAACACAACGCGTGAAACTAAACACACACACGTACATATAAGTCTACTTGAAAATACTGCTGCTTTGTGTACTTTCAGTTTCATTTACTCTAATCACTGTGTGGCAAGGAGTGCTTTATTGCTGAAGSCTTATCCTCGATGTGATTTGAAACTCTGTGGGCTCGCTATTTCTACAATGAGTTTTTACATAATTTCTTCAAATGAATACAACCTTCTCAAAAATATTTGGGTTACAACATTTGAATGCATTCTACTGAAAGTTTTATTATATCTTCCGGATCTCATAGCAAACTAACTGAATTTAAACCCCAAATGAACCACAAATGTAATTTTTTTCTGTGTTTGCTTGGCAACTTATAAAGGCGTGAACAGAAATTTGGCAACCACAAAAGAATTTCACACCTGCGCGCTTCTAAATGCCGCTATTAAGCGGTTTTTATGCAGTTTGAGCACAAGCCTAGTGTGTGTTTAGAACTTTTCGTAATGCTATCCTTTCAACAATAGCGAATTAAGCTGAGGGTGCTTTGTACAACATGACCCAATTCATTTGAGCAAGTAAATTGAGCAGAGCAGCTCATTTTCATTGTTTTGCTGTGTTTTGGGAGTGTGGAAAATTAAAAGTTGGCGTAAACTTTTTCACCTATGTTTTTATTCGACCGCAATTAACCCTTTCGAACAAATGAACTTGCAGAGRAAAGCTTTGTTTGTATGTATCGGAGTGCAAACATGTATTATTATATTAGAACACCGTACTTGTTCTGTGAAATTTTCTGTTTAGTGTGAGTGATGCTTATGCAAGCCTGTAACCAATCAAAGGTGATGTATTCTGAAATTTCATCCAAGTACGTCTGGGTGAAGAAATGTTATTTAAGCCGCACTCATTTAATTTCCTTCTTACTTAAGTCCCTAACAATGTCGGTACAGATAAAAGAATACTAAGTAGTTTGGCAGCAAGAAAAATAGTATTTCCAAGTCGAAATTAATATCTGTTTTGAGCTCCGCACAAAACTAATTAGTTCTTAAATCT